TGATTTTGAAACATGAAGAATTAAAAAAAGGAAAGAAGCAAAACCGCTGGCCGTATTATGCCAAAGCTCAATTTTGTCCATCTGTAACTATTCCAGGCACCATGAAGGAGACTAAATGGATACCATACACACATCTGCACACTTGTGAAACTATTTGTATTTCTATTGGTACCATACATTTGGGTTAGATCAGCATGAGAAAAAAAATCCTGAGTATTTGCCAAGCTAAGAATTTCAGAGAGCTATTCTCTGACAATGTTCAAAAACTAAAATTGCAACCTAAGACTTTCAGCTATTGCAAGAAATAATTTAAAATCAACCACAGTATGCAGTCCATTTTATGCTGTTGGAATAAACAAGACAGATATGAAACCCAGGGTTAAGCAATGAAGGAAGTTATCCTAGTTCAAATAAATACTTCTAGAAAAAGCTATAAATATGTTTATTAAGCCATCATCTTCGGGTAGCTTCAGCAAAAGAACCCTATCACTGCAAAGTTACTTCCACTTTCCACCAATCACATCAACACTAACGACGGGTATGCAGATTTCATTGGACAAGACCAGCGCTTAATTGTCTACAGTTCAACAAGGAATTCTTCAGTTAGATTTGAACTGATAGTTTATTGCAAGAAGGGTTTTGAAATATTTATTTTGTTTTCCAAAATCTTTGCTGGCTTTTTTTTTAAAAAAAGATCAAACTACATTTCTTCCAGATTAGCTAAGCTAAGACCCTTACAATGTCAACTTCCTAGTTAAACAACATATATTTCAGTTCCTTTTGACTCTGCCAATCTCCTTTCCAAAGTGTACAAGACTGTGTTTGGGATATGTTCTAATAGAAATAACATGCCCTGGCATGTTTGCATGCTAAGCACTTTTAACAAATGTGATATACTACAGCAGAGGCTTAAGCATGCACATAACACAAGAACCATGTGATACACACACACACACACACACACACCCTGTGATACACACAGACACAAATACAATCTCCAGGTTTTTAAAAACACAATTACAATGATACGCTCGGCTCATAACCATGCAACTAGTAATATTTCTCATTCACTCAGTCTTTAACTCTCTCTTGCTCAAATACTGTACCATGTTACAGGAATGGCTGCATCGTTTAAAAATATCATTAGAGTACCTAAATATGCTTTGGAGCTTTTTGTGGTCTCTGTAATATGCTATTTGCAGTTAAATGTTACTCATTCATTGGACAGGGAACTTTCTGCCTAAAGGACTTGCACCAAAAGCAGCAACACAGCAAATGGATTATGCAGAAATCGTATAATGCACCCAAATCGTTTGACAGGAGTGACTCATGTGGTAACCCTCTCCCCTCCTTGCCCTAAACACCTCCTGCCTCTCATACTGGGAAGGACGTTGTTCTTTCATTGTCTAGAAAACTGACACAAAGATTTGTGATCTTTGGCCACTTGCTACTTTTTAAAGGACCTTAATGGGAAACCTTTCACCTACTTTCAGCATTCAGATAACCACTTAAGAATGTGAGTTTTGGAAAGACTTTCCAGCTACCAACTGCATGTTCAATCATTTGTCTTCTCTTAAAACATGGGGGTCAGCTGCAATTCAGAGCATTCCCCCCCCTCAAAAAAAATAACCTCTCTAGAGGCTCATTTTTCTTCTTGCACGTTTTACAGGCAAAACAGTGGACGTAGCTCAGTCCCTAGTGGTCAAACACAGAACGCAGAATAATCTCTTCTAGCTGAGATTCAGCAGAGAAGCCTTAATTTTTTTTATCCCCCCAAAAAAGAAAGTGCATGAACACAATAACACACAAAAGACAGAGCTGCAACAGTGAGTCCAGCACAGACACCTAAAAACAGATGTCTGTCTCCCACATAACCGTTTACTTCCAAAAGCTCCAACCCAATGCTCAAAAGAAGTCATTATGTCTCAAACCGCTATGTCACTAAAGAGTTTAGGATCTCTTTCTTTGCGTTAAAGTCTCTCTTGTGAAAGTTTGATGTGTAGCTTCTAGAAGTCTCCAGCCAGCTCTTGACCAAACTGACAGAGGGATTCTGGGAGGTATCATTCAGAATAGCAACTTTCTGGAGCTCTGAATTCAGACTGCAAGTTTACACAAACTAAATTGCAAGTTTTTTTCTCTGCCCAGGAATTCATCTGGACTCTTTTCTGAGTAAGCCAATTTAGGATCGTTTTGGGTGCCTAGGAAGAATGAAAGCTGATTCATCACACTGGATGGCATAGCAATTCACCAAAACATGAAAAGTGTGTGGTTTTCTCCAGAGATATATTTTTTTTTGAGGGTGAGCTTGCAACATGTCAGTGAAAATGCACAACTTGCAGTGACAAAGAACTTCACAAGAGGTCATTCTCAGTGCAGTCCTCCAACCAGAAGTGGGTCCTCCTGAGTTCAGAGTCTACAGCAGACATCGGATACCTCAGAAGGTATCTGGCAGATATGGAGCAGGGTGTATAAAAGCAAACTTTGCCAAAGCACAGAAAGAAATGGCATAAGGGTAAGAACTGTTTGAAAGCCAAATAGAGCACTGCAGGTTCTGGTGGGTTCTCTTTCCCAGGAGATACACAACCCAGCGGCTGGGTGGCCATCTGTCAGCAATGCTGAAGCTGCACCCTACATGGCAGAACATACATGGAGCAGAAGGCTGGACTAGATGACTTCCAAGGCTCCTTTATAGACACCGGAAGAATTAGGTTTTCAGACTACATCTCCCAAAATTGCACAGCCAGAATGGGCATAAGATCATGTAAATTATAGTCCGAAAATGCAACACTTTCACATTCTGGCCTCTGTGGGTATTCATCTGGGGCATCACCATCATCTTAGAACTATAGAACTGGAAGAGTTCCTATGGATATCAAGCCCAGCTTCTGTCAAGGAGACATAGTAGGGAATCAAACTCTGACTCTACAGCCAGATGCCTAAATTACTGAGCTATCCAGCAGTTCTAAATAGCGGTGTATGTGTTAAGTGCCCTCAAGTCACAATCAACTTACAGTACCCTGGGTAGGGTTTCCAAGTTATGTGAGATATTGAAGGGGTGGATTGGCCAGTGCCACTGCTCACTGTGTTTCTATGGCCAAGTGGGAATTTGAACCCAGTTCTCCTAAATCCTAACCTGACATACTATCCACTATTCTGCACTGACTTAAATTTGTAGACATCGAGCATGCTATTACAACATAAAGGCCAGCACTGACATGCACATGGAGCTCCAGATACAGATGCTGTTGTGGCAGTCTGACAAGATCCTGGTTACACGATACCAGATACACATTTGGTACCTTATCAGAGTTCCGGAGCAATTTCCATGCACATAAACACTGAAAAGGATTCTGATCAGTGAATATGCCTGTTCACACCAAATAAACATATGATCCTTGACCAGTAAGCAAGCCCTTCCATCGCTTGCAACACCCCATATCTGGCCATTTCCAGGTTTGTGATTTTACAAATTATTCATCAGTAACTGTATCTAATATTGCAACCTATGGTCCAATTTTGGGTACACTTAAAGAGGAATAAATCCTAGTGCACACAACGGGACTTCCTTCTGATTAAACAGTTAGAGGCTTCTATTGAACATGTACAGGAAAGAAAATTATACATTGGGGGGGATGTATTTGTTTGAGATGTGATACTGGAGGAGATACTCTAGACTACTAGAAAAACGAACAAGTGGATCCAAGAGCAAACCAAGCCTGAACTATCTGTGGAAGCAAAAATGTTGAAACTGAGGCTGACCTATTTAGGCACATCATGAGAAGGCACAGTTCTCTAGAAAGGACAATTGTGCTGGGAAAGGTTGAAGACAGCTGGAAACGAGGAAGACCGAATATGAGATGGACTGACACACTAAAGGAAGCCACAGCCTCGAGTTTTCAAGAACTGAGCAGGGCTGTGGAGGACTGGGCATTTTGGAGATTGCTCATTCATAGGGTTGCCATGATTCAGAGATGACTTGACGACAATTTCCAACAGCAACAATTTCATGCACCAATTTTATTTTTTGGACCTGATCACGTTTCAGGTGCAATAATATAACACACCATTTAAAGAACTTAGTAGTACAACGAATGGAGGATTGTGTGTAGAATGCAGAAAACAGACGCAGCCTCAGAATAATCTGTTGGTTCTGTCAATTGGAAGAATTACCCCAAGCCCACTTTTTAGGGACATTCTGCTGTGTGTAATTCAAATGAAACACTGTTTGTAAGATGACAGTTGTGCAGTGTAAACATTTCCCTTTACTCAGCCACACTTCCACAGAGACATAGAAGCACCATATTTCATCCAAGACTTCCAGCTGAGTTCTTCTGACTAAGCAAAATGTACCATTACTAACCTGTGCCAGTTTTTCCTTAACCATACTATCATTTTCTCCAAGCGCACCGAACAATTACTGATGTTAAATCATTTATCATTCTTACTGATCCAAGGCAATGCCAGCAGTATAATTTGCTTCCATTAACCCATGACGTTTAGCCACAAATAAAAGTGGGCTTAATGCTAACTAAAAGAAACAGGCAGGTGACTAAATAAAATAGCTCTTCCTGGAGAGTCCCAATAGGTCCATAACGCTCTGCCTAAATTCCTGTGCAATTAACAATTATTCTGCAGAATTACATGCAGGTCAGTCTTCTGCAATCACATGCATTTGTATTTGAGAAGCTGCCCTTATGATCAGTTGTCCAAGGTATGCACCTTGCAGTCTTATCATTACCTACTCATGCAGGAGAGACAGAAGATACTTTTCCCAAAAAAACTTTGGAGGCAGGGGAATATACAAGCACTTGTGTTTTTTTTTAAATTTTTCCCAAACCAATCTCAGCGTGGAGAGCACGCTGTCAACCTGGTGCTAAACTCAGCAAATTCTGAATTAAAATCTGAGGTTCTGCATGGGAGAGGCACCACAGAGACCTATGAATCATCAAAGGTGCACAAGACCGGCCAGAAGAAAATAAATAAATAAAAGGAGCACTTACTTTTTGCAGCCACTGAGTGTAATTTTCCATGACATGCTCCAGGCGTTGTAGCTTCTGGGAAGAGAAATCTGTCTCCATGTGGGGGGCATCTCTTTGGAGAGCGTTGGTGTTGTATTGGTCAGTGGCGCTTTCGCGACAGTTCCCATCCTGTTCTGGAAGGATGAAGGTGTAGGTACACTGCCCATGCTGGATCCGGTTATATTTTCTGGCCCCGGACTCTGGACCCCGGCGCTGACTGTTGCAGACTGTGTGAGTCAAAAGGACAGCCAGGAAAGCGAAGCCAAGGAAAATGGTCATGTTACTAGTCCTCTTTTCACTCTCAGAGACCCTTTTGCCTCCCTCCTTCCCTTCTTATTTTTTGCTTTGGTTGTGTCTTTAAAGATCTCTTTGGGGACTGAGCAAAGTAAAAAAGTTTCAGATAATAATGGGAACTTAAGATAGATAGATAGACAGATATGCAATTTCACAAGACTTGCAGGCTTCTTTAGCTGAAGTTGGAGCAATTTATTGCATAGTAGCCGAGATTTATCGCTTCCTCTCTGTTACGCTTCAGCATGTAGCCTCTTTCAGTCAGCTGCCCAGGCATAGCCTTCGACTCCTTTCTTCTCCCCTCGCTGCGGCTGAACTGCTATTTTCTCGGAGACCTCGGCGTGTTTTATTAAGGTTGTACACTCCAGCCAAGTTGGAAGCCGGCTGCCTTTCACGAGATAACTTGATAGGAATGTGCGTGTGAGCGAGTGTGTGTTCCTGGGCTAAAGGATGCCTGATGGGGATCATCTTACACTCTCTGGACCTCAGACGTGTATGCCCTGCTCAACTCCTCCTGAGTCGGGAAGGGGTGGGGGGAAGGGGGGGCTTAGAGGTTTTGAGGAAGTTTAATGAGTCAAACAGTCCACCTTAATAGACTTCCTATGCGGAGGCTGAACCCTTAAAACGCACTTACAGGGTCTAGATTTGTTGTATAACCCACCCCTCCCTGTAAACATTAACATACGGACCGCTGCACATGGAGAGTATCGGCTGTCGTATAATGGGGTCCGTGACTCGACAGCTCTCTTGAGGGAATGCTAAACCAGAAGAGTGGCTTGTTGTGATTCAAGACAAACGGGGAAGGGGGGGCGGTTTGAGTGTTAACGAAACAGGGACTGTCTTTGGAAGGCGATCAGTCTTTTTATCAAAGCAGGGAAGACCCTAATTTCTGTGCCGGAGGCAAGCAGAAAGCATAAGCTCTCAAAACAGTTCCTAGGGAAATGTCACATATAGATAGATTATCCAAGGGCGTGCTGATAGAAGACTGAGAACAGGGTTTGCCTGTATAATAAAGATGCAAATGAAGACATTAGCAGACGCCCCTCCCCATCCATTGATCTCAAGATTCCAAGCAGGCAACCACCCATCTAATGAGTTAATCTGACTACACAGTTAGGAACTGTACACACCTCAAGTGTCAATGACGGCAGTTTTTCTCCTGGGTTCCGTTTGAAACTCATCATCATCATCATAGAACTTCAGGACTGGAAGGGACCCTATGGATCATTGAGTCGACTTCCTATCCAGGAGGCACAGTGGGGAATCGAACTCCCAACCTTTGGCTCCACAGCAGATGGCTAAACCACTGCACTATGTATGGAGCAGTTCGAATTCAGCACATTGCTTTGTTTTGTTTTTAACCAGGAGTTATTGCTTGCGCGAAAGTGGCCCACTAAACCCAGTATCCCATCTGGCAGATTCCACTGAATCATAACAAAGAGTTGTATCTGAATAGTGTTCTGCATATCATGGGTGTTTCAGCAGTTATTCTTCTTTGCTAGTACTACAGTATTAGGAGGAACAGCTTGTGTGAGGCCACCTGCCACTATAGACCCCCCTGTAACTTGAATAATGTCACAGTACCGTGGACCTAGAAGGCCAATATCTGTGTCACAATCCCTTAGCAACTTTTGTAGATATGGAACTAGTTCCTCCCCACGCATTGTCACTCAGACACCTGTGAACTACTAGGCTTAGGCATCCTTCAGTCTCGAAAGACTATGGTGACGTGCTCTGTATGGAGGACTTGGAACAGCATCTAATGTGGCTGAAGAGGCCAATTCAAGAGTGACAATCTCTTCCACACTGAAGACAAACCCAGTCTGTCCCCTGTCCAGCTCCCTGGTTTTGCTGCTTTTGTGACTTCCTCTTTG